AGAGTTAAATGGTCGGCCCCTAACAGTTATTGAAACAGTAGTTCCTGTCACTTCACACGTGATAAACGGAACGGATATTGCAAAAATATGCACTGAACACCACAATTTTCCTTGAGATGATGAGTGTCTGATTTATTTCAGTGTTTCGATGAATTTGGAAAGTGTAGTGAGTTTATCTTTATTTCAAACAAGATTCTTTCTACATGCAAGTTTCCGGCAAGCCAGCTTTGTTTGTAGGTGTTTATCAATCACTGTGATGAGGGAACTTCCGATTATTTTAGGAAGATTTAGTGAGAACTGAGCTTATAACGATTTCATATTTAGACTTGTTTACTTTCATTTGGTGTTTTCAAATGAAAGTTCTAAGCGGTTTTAAAATATCCAAAGAAATAAAATTGCCACTTTGAAAAAAATAACACATTGGTCAAGCTAACTGCTAAAAATAGCAACACACTCTGTTGCGTGGTGTGGAAGTTTTAATTTTCAGAAAAAGATTTAAAATGTAGCTATTCCACAATTCCACAGCTTTCCTGCAAGTGTTCGAAAAAAATAAAAAGGTTTCACTTTCAAAGCACCACGATTTGGTACAGATTATCTTTCCTGATGGTTCTCATGGCCAGACTAGCAACTCTATTTTTTAATTGTACTGCTAAATATCCAGTCAATTTTTTTGTCAACTTTCTGAAAATTTCAGCTCTCCACATATAGTCAGTTGCAATATGTATGGCTTTTTCATTTTGCCTTTCACTTCTTTTATGAAAAATGGACGAACAAGAAAATGTTTATGGAAAATCTCTTAATGCAGGAGGTATTTTATTTCGGATATTTTGCCTTTTGCTCTACATAAAATTGGCTTGCATCACAGATGACTCAAGCTGTAGAATGGTGATCTTAAAGATTGCGTAAACGCTGTAAAAAATATTAAGGAGATGGATTTATTATGTCAGAGTCAAACTTGTTCATGCAGAAAAGGAGCCAGAAGGTATCTGACAGTGTATTATATAATTATGGTAAACACCAAAAGTTAAATGCTTTCTACATGTAAACTGGTTTGATTAAATATTAACTGATTAAAACATGAAATAACGTAATTATAAATTATTAGTTGCTTGGTTAATTAGTTAATTAAGAAATTAATTAATATTTGGGCAACCAACTTGGAGGGCTGAGCACCCTAGCTGGAATGGTTGGAAGCCCAAAGGGCTCTCTGAAAATTTTCTTAGAGCACAGCCTTGGATAACCAATCAGATTAAAAAATTTTGTTAAAGTTTTGATATTTTCTGACATTGGACATTGTGTACCTTCAGCTTTTCAATTATATTGAATGCACAAATGCAGACCATGCTGCTCCCAGGTATTAAAATAGACTGATATTCAAATACAATATATTAACTGTAGAAGAATGTGTGATACTTGTTGCAACAAAATGGGAAATACAGTCATGTAATTATGATTTTTCTTTGAAAGACAGATTAGTTTTTACCATTCAAGATTTTATAAACTTTTCATTCTTTTCATTCCAGAGTACCCAATATTTTTGTGGTATTTGCCAGGAAAATGTTCAGGTAAATAAGTGCTGCAAAAAAGCAGCACACAAGGAGTGTTTGTACACATCTGAGTTGGATATTACAAATTGCAAATGGTGAGTATGGAAATATTGATTTGTTGATTGAATCAAAATGTCAGTTTTTGGATTTGATAGCTAAGGCATACATACAAAACATGGATGATGTGCATGTGAAATTCTGTATTATCCTATTTTGTACTTAACATGTATGTGATTTTATATTTTTGGTGTTTGTATCACTGGAAGCCTTCTAAAGTGCCCCCACTCAATTTCTGAAAATAAAGTCAATAAATAAACTGCATCTGTCTACCCAATATGGGTTCCAAGGCATCCATTTATTACCAGAAAAACTCAAAACATGCAGTTTTTAATGCATTTTGTTCTTACACTGAATATTTGTCAACATTATAAAGCACACCATGTGGCAAGTATACATTGCAAAATGTAATATTTATTATTATTTACATGGCTTAAATTGGCTTATTCTGGTGAATTTCTCATAAATTACCACCAATTTCATTGAAAGCATTTTTGCTAGTTAAGTACTAAAAGTTTTTAAAAATTTGATCATATTAAGAATGGTATTGGAGTGCAGTTATCATGGACTGTTAATTTATATTGATACACTATTTTCACAATACTACAGTTTTGAAAGAGATAGGACTGTCAACCAGAGTGATTTTCCTGGTGAGTACATTATTCCAGGAATTAAATCTTTTTTTTTTCTGTACAGAGCCAGACAGACACATTTTTTAGGATTTGAAGATACATTTTTCATTCAAAAGATCACAAGCCAAAAATTTCCTCAACAAACTGAGGTCCTAATTTTTATCATGTTTTTGCTGCAGCATTTCTTAAACTTAAATGTAGATTTTGAAGTGAATTTAATTGAGGTGTCCTTTCTTACAGCTGATCCTGACTTTTTCATAATAGTTATCTAAGTAGTTACGTAGTAAGTAAGTTGCACTGTTTTTAGGAATCTGTTCATCTGACTGTTGCAGTTTTGGCCTAAACCCTTAGACCCCTTTCCCCTCACAATATCATCCTTGAATAGCAGGCCACAACATTACTGGCAATGATTCAACTAGAGAAGCTCTTGATTGATAGACAAATTCTACTTTTTGGCACCTTAGGAAATGTATAAATAACAGTATGGAGAATATGAATATTGATCTAACAATGTTAAGAATCTGACTGATATCATTTATTGTTGTTGTTGTTGTTGTTGTTGTTTAACACAGCTGCTTCAACGTCATCATCTAAAAAACCTTCTATGAATGATGATGTTTCTGACACATGGGAGAATCTTCCTCTGCAGACTTTCCCACATCACTCCGAGGTTTGATTTTTGAAATCTTTTTTTGTGGCCACAGCTTCTAGAAAAGCAGTAGCCACTATGTTACCTGGTCTATAATGTAATGCAAGTATGTAATCAAATGGATTGAATTACAAACTAGTTGTAATAACCATGGGGGAGTGAAGTGCATCCAATTCATGTTTTTGCGATCAGACATTTGAGAGTAGTTGACTCTCCACTTTTGTAGCCTGCAAAAGGCATCTATTTTTGTCATAGATGGTTAAATAAAATGTGAAAAAGATGTTGTTTCATTGGAATCGATTCAGACGATAATTTCTTCAAAAGTGTTGAGTGACAAGAAACTTTTGTAATAAAACACCATAATTTTTTTGGGYGGGCGTGGTGCCGAGAGGGAGCATCAAGCTAAATTTTTTAGTCAAGTTTTGTGCCTTTGCAGTTATTGAACAGCTTGCTGGTGAAGAAATAAGGAACGTATTATGGCTTAATAACTCATTTTTTGGTCTCCCTTTTGTTTGTGTGTTTGTTGTGATGTTTGTTGGTAATGTTGGGTCATCCTATCGTATTTCCTCATGATACTGTGCTTACTTAGCATATCTTTCTTTCAGTTCTTGTCACTGGCTTGTGTGATTTGTAAACGAGAAGAGATCTTCGTGAAAGCACCGTGCTGTGAAGGCCACTACCACCCACATTGCCTTAATCAGTATAGAGAAAACGGTTATACAACCTGCATGTACTGCCGGCGTCTCATGCAGTTCTCAACGCAACTGAACGACCAATCGAGAACACTATGGGGTGGCAGAGGAAATAGTGGTGGAGGAGATGACAGTGGAAGCAATGGTGGAGGAGGAGGAGGAGGAGGAGGACATGATGGTGATGGGGAAGGCAACAGTGAAGGAGGGGATGCTGGTGTGAGAGTGGATGATGATGCTGTTGGAGAAAATAATTATGGAGGAAGTGACAGTCAAGGAGGTGGTTATGGTAGAGGATGGAGTGACAACATGGAAGGGGATGAAGGTGGTGGAGTTGATGATGGCGGCGGTGGAGATGATGATGGAGGTGGTGGAGATGATGATGGAGGTGGTGGTAGTGGAAGAGATTCACCGTTACCCCCTCCCTCTCCACCACCATCACCTGTGTGGCTGTTGTCACCACCTCTTCATCCACTGCCTTTGCCTCCTTTGCCACCATTAGCTGATAACAGAGACGACGATGAAAATTCTGAAGGAGGAGTTGATGATGAAGGCCGAAATGAGAGTTCAGGTAACTTTTTTGAGTATTTTATTTTGAGACCCACAAAAAATTACAGGCACGTTACTCGCTGTATTGGCTCTTTCCAGCCAGTAGTTTAAAGTGTTAAAGTGGTACTGGTGTGTTGTTGATGGGTGTGGTAACTATGTTGAAGAATGAAGCATTCTTACGTTTCTTACTCAGAGTCTTTTCTCAACAATGACTGCCTTGCAGCGTGGTTGCTTCAAGTATGGGGGTGGATCAGAAACACCCCTACTGACTTAATGATACCGAAATCTGGAGAAGTTCTTGCGTTCTGGGCTAGTTGTGTGCTTTTGTTGACTTCTTCCAACCTCTATCTGTCCCTATCGTTTAAGCTCGATTAGCAACCGCTGTTTATGAAATGAACCAGCGTACCTACCTTCAGTTTAGTAGAACAGTTTCGAAATATCGAGACTACGCATCATTTAAACAATAATCAAAATTTTTAAATGTTTTTCGAAAAAGACTGAGTTAATGTACTCTCTGTTTAATATGAGCCTTCCCT